ATCCTCACCCCACACCCTCCTGACAAACCCAGAGTCTGTGACAAAGTCATGACAACGGCGTGGAGTAAGATTTCCTCGAGGCGCACCTGGACACTCCTAACGGATGCAGAAGACCTGGACTGTCATCGGAGAGAAATCATGCAATCAGGCCAGGCAGTCAGGCTCCCACCAATCAAAGCAGCCAGTTCAGGAAAAAGTTCTCTACCGTCATTCGACCAGCTGATCAAGCAGGCCAACAACATCACCAAAATCCCCATTAGAACAAAGGAAGTTCAATTCCCCCCACGCCACGCCCAATAAACACAGAAGCCCATCCAGTTTGGCCTAAACCACCATCATTGTCCCCTACTCCGACCAATCACAACGCGTCCTCTACTTCTGCTCTCCACCTCTGACCTACACCCCTGAGCTCAACTTATAGATAGTGTTTTACTGGCTTTTCTCCGAGCGCTCCGGTTTACCAGTTCACCCACTATCTAACATACATCATAGACTGTATCAAGATATACATATACACACACGAACACACACACACATAGGTCAAATAAAAAAGAAAACAATTAACTTCAAATGAAATGGATTAAACTAATAAAATATCGTCTTAATATTTGCTTTAACTATTTGATTCATTTTCATAGCTGACTCAAAAGGCTTCTGGTCAACACTTTTTCATCTCTTAAATAAAATCTGTTTATTTTTCCTTTATATTGTCACAGAGAGAACTAGAAGACATTGAATCAAGTCAAACTAAACTTAATGTTTTGGACAGCCACCTCTGTATCGTTTTTACTGACCAGCCTGTTTTCATTTTTTCTGTTTGCAGGTTTTTTATTTTTTCATTGTGAGTCTGAACCTGAGGCTCCACCCTTTGTACTCTGAATGGATGAGTTTAATGTCGACCACTGTCAGTACTTAGAGCAGAGGATGGGCAGTGAGAGACGACATATGAACGGAACTGAAGTTGGATAGAGCTGTTTGTGCTGCAGGGTGGAGAGTCCTGGTCAATGTGAGCTCTTGTCTGAAAAGAGGGACGGTGACGGCACCAGCGCCTTTTGATAGATATTTTTTTAGCTATGAGAGCTCGGAGCGCCTGCACCAAAAAGGCAGAGCGCTTTGAAAAAAGAAGATGCTGGACATTGCACTTTTCCTCCTGGCGTCTGCAAACACGCTCTGCTTTAAGTAAGAACTGGAAAAAGACACTGGTGCTCAGAAAGAAACACTTTGTGGACACAAGCCCTTAAGGTTCCTGTGTAAATATGAGTTTATATAAGACGGAATCTAGGTCACTTTAAATGTGCATTAAGTAAATATTCAACATTTTAGGAAGGTTTTAGAAGACGGATCTGAATTAGTGCATAGGTACGGAGCCCCTAAAGGGACATAGGCAGAATAAATAAAAATATATGTTTCTCATGCGCACCAGAAACTAACCGGTGCTCATGTGAAAATTTCACATGCTCACGTGGAAGTTTTGGTAATAAAATATGTAATAACTGTACTGTAACATGTTGTAGTACCATCAAAATCACAACACACATAAACCATGTCCTCTTGAGTGCATAAATGTAATTTTAGTGATTTTTTAATCATTAAATTTGGTAATAAAATAAGTAATAACTATACTATAACATGTTGTAGTGCCATCAAACACATCACGTGTGTATGTGAAACTTTCTCGTGAGCACAAGAAATTTTCACGTGAGAACCGGTTAGTTTCTGGTGCGCACGAGAAACATGTATTTTTATTTTTTCTGCCTGTGTCCCTTTAGGGGCTCCGTATCTATGCCTATAAAAGAGTTAGCTGTAGTTAAAACATAGTGATCCAAGCCTCACGGTGGCCCTCACTTATCAATGTGGTGTAGAAACCAGCACAGATTTAGGTGTTGAAATCATTGTACAACAGGGTCCACATCAGACCTATGAAATGTGCGTATCTGGCTGATCACAGCGTACACATAAGTGTGGCGGCTGGAAACGGTAGTCATTTAAATACCACGCCCCTATATTTTCACGGTTAAGCTGTCCTCGCCCCCAGAGTTTACGTCATGGAAATACGTAATACGTGAGAGAGTATGATTGTGTATGTGAGAGAGTATGATTGTGTATGCGAGAGAGTATGATAGTGTATGTGAGAGAGTATGATTGTGTATGTGAGAGAGTATGATAGAGTGTGTGAGAGAGTATGATAGAGTGTGTGAGAGAGTATGATAGTGTATGTGAGAGAGTATGATTATGTATGTGAGAGAGTATGATAGAGTGTGTGAGAGAGTATGATAGAGTGTGTGAGAGAGTATGATAGAGTGTGTGAGAGAGTATGATTGTGTATGTGAGAGAGTATGATAGAGTGTGTGAGAGAGTATGATTGTGTATGTGAGAGAGTATGATAGAGTGTGTGAGAGAGTATGATTGTGTATGTGAGAGAGTATGATAGAGTGTGTGAGAGAGTATGATTGTGTATGTGAGAGAGTATGATAGAGTGTGTGAGAGAGTATGATTGTGTATGTGAGAGAGTATGATAGAGTGTGTGAGAGAGTATGATTGTGTATGTGAGAGAGTATGATAGAGTGTGTGAGAGAGTATGATTGTGTATGTGAGAGAGTATGATTGTGTATGTAAAACATTTAGCCTAATCTTGGTGAGTAAAGGTTTTTCAAGTTATAACTAAATATTTATTGATTCTTAAATGCATAATGTAGACAGAGTATAGGCTAACGTTGGCATTATTCTTTTATTAAATTTGGAAAGAAAGACTCATTTTTATTGGCGCATTGGCCTGTTTATATTCGTATTGGTGATTGTGGAGAGAGGCAAGTCCCGTTTCCGTTTGTCTTTGGCCTAATCTCAATTTTATGTAACTTTTCGTTTTATTTCGTTATTGCCAAATACCCATCTTGGTTTAGAATTTATCTTGATTTAATTTGTTAAGAAAGACTTATTTTCATGTAGGCCTATTTAGAGTGCTGAGATGTTATAGAGGACTTATTTTATTTCTTTGTTCCAACTTCCAAGTGGCCTATAGCCTACGTTGATCATGAATAAATGATGTTCAAAAATGTATAAATGACTCATTCTTGACAAAAGGCAAAAGAACTGTGTGCGTGCGCACATTTGAATAATGTCGGGCTGTAAACGGGTTCGGGCTTTTAAAAAGCTGCCAATCAAAATGTACTTGTCGGGCTCGGGCTTTGTTGGGTCTAACTTTTAAGGCCCGATTACAGCTCTACCCCAGTTGCTAGCACCGTTATGTGGGGGAACACGGGCTGAAAAGTTTAGTAACCCCTGTATTATAGTGTGTGAGAGAGTATGATTGGGTATGTAAGAGTATAGTTATGTCTGCATGAATTGTTAATTGATAAGTGCCGAACTTTGCGTGGAAATGACCATACACCCATTTTTCTGTCGTGCGTTCGTTTGATAAGTGAGGGCCAACCCTTTTTAATCGTTTTATGACTGTACTGTGTTTCTCATGATTTCAGATTTCAGTCCTGGTTGTTTCATTTGCTATATTACCCCTGTCCTCTTTGGATTGAGTATGTGTGTTACCATGTGAAGGGAAAAGTGATGCTGACTACCCAGGTCCCCAATGGAGGAAGAGGCCGTTATTGTTCCTGAAATAAATCCTTGGTTGTTATCTTTACAATCTTAAAGCCCTTACTCACCATTGCTCCTTGCATGCTCGGGTTGGTTGGTCTGCCTTGTCAGCCCGTTGACTAAACCACTGACATATAACTTATTTATAAGGGTATTCTCGCTCCAAGGATTTATACCTTTTAACTATCCCTAAATCCCGTATTGAATTGGGAAAAGAGTGTTGAGGTATGCTGCTCCCTCTTCTTGGAATCGGTTGCAAGATACTCTAAATCTTCGGGTGCTGGTTTCCTTGCATGTTTTTAACGGTCTTCTTAATGATCTGGCTGTAGATGTTTTAACTAATCATATTGGCCCTTTTTGATCCCTTGTTGATGATTTACCGGTATGACAAATGTTTATGAATGTTTCTTGTATTTTGTGATTCCTTTATTTATGTTCATTGTTGTTAAGTGTTTTATGTCTGAAACCCTGTAATTGTGCTGCTGCCTGTCTTGGCCAGGATGCTCTCGAAAAAGATTCTTAATCTCAATGAGACTTTTCCTGGTTAAATAAAGGGTAAACAAATAAATTCATTATTTAACAGTTTATTTTATTATTTTTTCATGAGTGAACCTGAACCTGAGAAGTAAGAAGACTTCAAGAAAATAGTTATCATGTGTGAAGTTTAACAATGAAACAGTTGAAGACTGTGGAGATACCTGGCTGAGTTAAAGGTGTTAGAGATAAAGGGCTGTGATACCTTAAATAAAAGTGTGTGTTAAGGCCCTGACACACCAAGCAGATGGCAAAGAACTAAAGGCAATGAAGCACCTGTGGCGTCAGCGCACAAAGCCTTTTGTCTTGGCCAAAAAGTTGCACAAGAACACACCGCAAAGACTACAGCCGACGGCCAACCACCACGTGCATTCTGCGCATGCGTATGAGGCAATAACTCTCCATGCCAGCAGGTGGCGGTAGTCTGTAATTGTCATTCCTAAAAGGGAGAACCTGAAGAGGACGAGGAAGAACGCGGATAAATAAACCGTTTTTGTGAAACGAGAAGACAATTTTATCACCGCTGTTGCTCAACACTCGTAAAACAGATTCTTCTAATCGAGAATAATGTCTGATAAAAAGTTGAAAATGGCACTGGCGTTGTTCAGCCCTTGGTCTTTTATTAGTGGAACAAGAATAGAAGAGGCGCTTCTGGTGTGTGTAGGTGGTGTCTCAGGTGTGTAGGTGATGTTTGTTTAGGGTGTGTGCTACCTGTGTGTATGTTTTTTGGGGGGTTTGTTAACTTAGATGATGTCTTTGGTGTGTGTAAGGGGCGTCTCAGGGATGTGTTACCTGAGATAATGGTGTTTGAGTGAAGGCAGTGTTTCGGGTGTGTGTTACACATTTGTAGGTGGTGTATTAGGTGTGTGTGTTACCTGTGTGTAGGCTGTGTTTGTTCCGTCGGTCGCCTGCACCGACAGGTTGTAGAATCCGCGCTGTTCAGCGTCCAGAGGTTTCGCAATGACGATGGTGCCCACAGCTTTCTCCACGTCAAACACGGTGTCTGTGTTCCCACCTGCTCAGGAGGGAGGAGGAGCACAGTGTGAGACACACACAAACAAACACACACACACACACACACACACACACACACACACAGTGAAGCAATAGAATCAGGATGACTATGTAAACACACATACACACACACACACAGCAGATAGGTGTATGGTGGAGTTTTCAGTGTGTTTAATACCTGCTGAATGTCCTAACAGATATTTAAATAAGGCAAAGAATTCTCTAGACCTTTTAACCCTTTGTGACGTCGCTTTGTGAGACAGATGAGAAAATATCTCATCTGTCATAAAAATACTTAATGGGGGGAAAAAAACTACTCAATACTCAAGTTTGTATGCAAATCAAACATTCTGCTTGTTGTTGTGCTGAATAATTTGGGATAACATTAAGATGTAAAACTTTTCGCTATCGGCTGGTCTCATGTGACTCCAAGACCTAATCAACAGCAGCCATAGAAACATTTAGCATTGAAAATCTAAATATTTAATTTACATTCTCATTGTAAATGTATTTTTATTTTCTGATCAAGCAGGTTTTTGATGCATGTTCTGTTTGCTAAGAAAATATACACAAAAGACACACCTGTGTGTCCCAATCTGCATGGGAATGGAGACACACCCAACCACACACACAATATAACATACAGAAACAAAAAAGATCACGACAACACAATGAAGCACGAGCATGAGCCATGCAAGCAGCAAGAACAACCCAACCCCTGTGTGTATGTGTGTGTGTGTATGTGTGTGTTTGTGTGCGCAACAGACTCAGACTATGTGTTGTCTCTTTCTAATAACTAAGCCCCCAGTACTTGTGTTAATGTTTCTGTTTGTGTGTTACATTCCCCTTACCCCCTCCCCCCCCATCTCCGCACTGACAGCTTAACTCATCCTCCATGAGAGTTCATCATGGTTTTGAGCAGCCTGGTTAAAGTTTCCAACCTTTAGCTTCACCTTTAGCTTCAGCCTGAGATAGTTTCAGTCAATCATACATCTGTAGAACATTTCAGGCAGACTGCTCCTGGGTTAGTTGTTCACACATGCAACCTTGAACCAAGTGACTTTCCCTGTCGGACAGGAGGAGGAGCGGGGCGCTCAGGAGGCAGGACAAGAGGTAAAAAGAACGACAGGGAAGTGATGTATGAATCAAAATACACTATGATGACAGTTTTGCCTTTATATCTAGTTTGACACATTTACAATATCAACTAAAAGAGTGGAGAAGAAAATACTGGTGAACAGAAATACCATAAAGTGGGTGGTACATTAGATGAGATCACACTGGTCGCTCACCATTTGCGTAGTATAAAACATCGTCCACCACCCAAATATTCCTGAAGATTTCCTCCTGTGTTCAAACCCGTCTTATGCACATGATGAGACCAGGCTCTCAATGAGGCTTGGTGAACTCACTGTGAATCCAAGTCAAGAAGTCGTAAGATATAAGACCCTTTTTTTTTTTTTTATATCGAGATGCTGACTCGACTCCTGGGTTTCAGGAGCAGATAGTATTCTGATTGATAAACAGAGGAGTGTGTGTGTTTACAGTGTGTGTGCAGTGTGTGTTGTGGTTTCTGGCTGAGCTGTCCGAAACATTAATGAGCCGATGATGACAGAAACACTCTGAGATCATAGTCAGCTTCAAACAGCTTTGTCCCGATCGTTCCTCGTTTAGGAAGAGAGAAGAAGACAACGGTTTGAAAGACTCCTCGTAAAGGACGGAAACAGCTCCTCCACCGCGCCAAATTACAGAGAGAGAAACCAACTATGTGCATGACAAACACACATCTGATCTATTTCTGCACGTCTGAATCTGCAGCTCACATCGCAGAGCTGAGACGGGTATGGATTCATGTGATCACACCTGTTCCGATCCTCCAACAGGAAAAGTTCAAATTATTATCATTATCACTTCAATCCATAAAAATATGCAACCTACAGAGAACCCTCACAGACATTACCTTTAAAGAGACAGCATACATTCTTCTACCCTCACCTGTTCAGCCAATCAGAATCAAGTATTCTCTGCGTCTATTATCTAAGAGTCAATGATTATTGTTGTGCCGAAAGAATAAATACATCCGGGCAGAAAAACTAATAATATAAAAACATGAAGGAAGGTTGTTCTCTTTATCATAAATGTGAAACACACAACTGAGCACATGTTTCACCCTTTAGTGTCATCCATGCAGAAAGTTCTTCACAATGAGAACTTTGTTGCAACCCTTTGTTGCAAAGCATATATGAGTGTTTTTGTGTTACCGTAACTGTAACAAGATTAAACAGAAGGTACACACAAAAAACTTGTAAAAAGCTAGCTTTTCATCATGTGTTCATCATGATCCTAAACATAAAAACCTGTATCAGGTATGAGCCTGTTCAGCCTCTGTAATTACCACGAGTCTAATACTGATTATGTGGAGTGTAATGCATTTACCTCCTGGTAGAGTTTTTATATCATTACTGCGTGATAACAAAAACAACAACAACAACAATTATAGTAATAATAGGAACTGTTAATGTGTGTTATAGAAGATAAGACAATTTTATGCTTCATGAAAGGTTTATGTGTTCAACTTCAGCAAACCATTCACACTGTGTGTGTGTGTGTGTGTGTGTGTGTGTGTGTGTGTGTGTGTGTGTGTGTGTGTGCGTGCGTGCATGCATGTGTGTGTGTCTCAGTCTGCAGGGTGGAGCACCTTAAGTTATAGTTAGAGCTCTGCTGTGGGTTTAGAGGATGTGGTGTGTGCATGTCTTTATGGATTCTACACATTTAAGTGTGTGTTTGTTTGTGTGTGTGTGTGTGTGTGTGTGTGTGTGTGTGTGTGTGTGTGTGTGTGTAATTTGGAGATATGAAATTGAAACCTGGTTGATTAAAAATGAAAAAAAAAAAAAATTAAACACCATGCGTAAAGAGATCAACTTTTCACTGTTCTTAATTTCGGTCTACTTTGTGATCATATTGTTTTTCTGTTTCTTTCTTTCCTTCCTGCCGCGTGGCCTGCAGGCTGTGTTTTCCTCTCAGTCTGCTTTATCTTTCAGTGTGTTTAATGGGTCAGGTGAAAGTGGGCGATTTATGTGCATGTCTGAACCTGCTTTGTTAAAGTGCTACATGAAGGTGTGTGTTAACATAAGGAATGTGTGTACAGGTGCTGCTAACAGCAGGTCATTAGACAGAGCTGTCACCGTGGTAACCTTGGGGGTGTTGCCATGGGAGCAGATATAGAGGTTGTGATGCTTGGTTACCAAACCTCCATCCCTTCAATTAACCTCTGCTACAGTGTGGCCTGTTCATGTGTAACACACTAACACGCACAGGTACGCCCACACACACACACACACACACACACACACACACACACACACACACACACACACACACACACACACACACACACACACACACACACACACACACACACACACACACACACACACACACACACACACACACACACACACACACACACACACACACACATTCACACAGTGTGGTTTATTCCCCTCAGCTGACCAATCACAGGAGGACATCAGCAGCACTGATGAGACGAGTGACGATGAGCTTCAACAGAAAGGAAAAAAAGGAAAGGAAAGGGGGGAGGACACAGAGCAGGAGGAAGTAGGAAGCGGGATACCTTCTGAGGAACAGTTCCTGCCACACGTCTGCAGAATATAGAACATCTCACGGAAAGACCTGGAACCTTCCAGGAGAGAAGCATTAAGGAGAGAGAGGAGAGACAGGTGAGACAGGAGAGGCAGAAAGAGAGAGACCGACAGATAGATTGACAGACAGACAGACAGACACACAGGTTGAGGACGAGGACAGGTGCAGGAGGTGATGAAGAGGACACAGATTATGATGAAGGTTGGTGTAGTTTAGTAGTTAAAATGTAGATGATGCTGTCTGGTAGTTGTAGTTCTACTGATCTGTAGTCAGTTTATAATTGTGTTCAAACGTAACATCTGACTGTAAACTGTTCAGCATGGCTTGATACTGTTTATTTATGTCATATACAAAGACTTACATGTCATGACGGTTTATCATTATTAAATACTGATGTATGAATCAATATATTTCCTATTCTCTATCTATGATCTCTGAACAAACACACGTGCTGATTGTTCTGCATCATAATAGAAACTGAGCGGATCCCCACCATGCTCTGTTATTATTTCACATAATCATATTTATGATACTGCTGTAAATACTTTTTTTAGATTATTTTTGTCACTGTCTCTTTAAACTTTTTTCCTACTGTTTTGTTGTTCCACAGATTTTTTCTGTGATGAAGTTCAAGTTTGACAAGAGTCTGAGCTGCTGATTCATTCTGTCTCGTTAATGACAGACTTAATGAAAATGTTTCAGAGGAAGGGATTAAGACTGTGTAAAAACAAGAAGAAGAAGAAGAAGATGAAGGGAGCAATAGTTTACAGAGATTAAAGCCACACTCCAGTGGTTTTGTTTTTTTTATGGTATTTTATACATTTCAGAGTCATTTCCCCCAAAACATTTGTTAAATATAAGTAATTAGAAACTCGAAGTCAATATGAATGAATTCTTATAAAATAAGAAACAGTTATATTAGTGGGAGATAAATTAAATCAAATGTCCAAACAGGTAAGAAACTCACTCAAGTCCGGTTTTCTGTTTAACATGAAAAAATATCATCGGAACATTTATCTTCCGGTAAATTTGGTGAATGTTAAGGTTATTTTCATTGTTTGAATGCACTTTGGACAACTGGAGTCGAGAAAGAGATGAGACGAGACTGCTGACCCTGCTCTCCTTTTTTTAAACGGACACATCTCTATTATGTGTAATGATAGTCATTGATGAAAGTCATTGAATTTGTACAGAGAGAAAAGTTGACCAACTGCTGAAATTTTGAAGCAATCCATGAAGCAAAGTTTATGGATGTAATGTGTTTGGATTCAATCTTTTACTGCAGGCCTGTTAATATCATGAGGACCCTTGTGCCGATGCAGCAGGATGGTTTTTGTATGAATATTATGACAGGAAGAGTACAGTAGACCTTCAGCGGGTAAGATAAATGAATCAGACAGTTACAGAGTTTAGCATCATGTTTGTGTATAAGACCCCCCCACACACCACTACGCCGACTGAGACAAGTATACAGAGACATAAAAAGAGGGATAGAGAGATGGGTGGAGTCATAAAAGAGAAAGAAAAGATAAACAGAGACATGACAGAAAAAAGATGGACAGAGTCAGAGTCAGGAGCAGAAGGTATCTCCAGCTGGATTCACACTGACTGTCACTGTTCAGCAAAAAACAAAAGGAGAGATGGAGGTGCATTGTGGGAGCTGTAGTTCTTCCTGGTCTGTGGTTGCGTGCATCCTGCTGGAGATGTGTCAGTGAGCATGTTTTATTAAAAACTAATAGAATTAAATCAGGCGTCTGATAATTAGACTTATAAATGTCTTTGAGCAGCAGACTCGTCAGTGCACTAAAAGCGCAAAAACGGGGCTTAAAGCGTCGGGCGCCACATAATCTTGGCTAATCCTTTGAGGAGGGTGAAAGTGAACTTTGACAGATCAAAGGGATTTAAGTGAATGTCACAGTGAATAACACAGAAATAACACTAAACCTCTTACAGAATAACACACAGGAGCTACGTCTGTTAGCATCACTGCTGCTCCTCACCGAGGACACACACACCTGATGGCAGCCGAAGCTGTCGCCATGGTGACAGGGATGGGCGGAGCAGAACAGATCATGCAGCGAGGCCACAGTACCTGAGCTGCATCCCACAAAACACACAACAACACACACCATGCATAAGGCCTGCACACACACACTGCACACACACTCACACGCTACACACTCCTCAACCCACAGAGGGAGTTTACCTGTGATGTCAAACCACAAGGGGGCGGAGCCCTGCTGCAGGGAGACCACGCCCACGATCTCGGCAACCTTATCGTTCTCCATGACGGTGAAATTATAAAACTGCTCATCAAAGAGCAGGGGGAGAGGGAAGGGGGACGGACGACGGATCCACTCGATGTGAAGACGAGCGGTGGACGCCTTCTGAGGACGCCCGTTATCTGTCGCTTTAATCTGAGGAGAGACGCAGGAGATGGAGAGAGAGAGGGTTACAGAGCGATCACAGGGACGTGACCTGAAGGAAATCATAAAATATTCCTAAGAGATTAGGGTCTGTTCACAGATGTTAAGGAAACCTGGCAGCAGACACAGTCCCTCAGTAATATTTTTGACTTTAAGTCAAATCAATCATAGCCAACAGTATTTTTTAAAGCTTTATGAATCCACAGTATCTACATATGAGAGCTGCAGTGAGGGGTATTCTGGTGAGTGGTCCATATTAGAAACTCTATCTTTAGGCTCCTGACTGTCACTGTCTTGTTCATTCTTTAAACGTTCTGCTCTGACTCTGAATGTTCCTGTGATGTTCTTTATAAGACATCTGCTTTATTCAAACAAAGCTTTAAGAGTATTCAAACTAAAACTATTTATTTATGTAACATGCAGCAGGTTATTGCTGTTTGTGTCTCAACCCCAGTTCATCCTCTCTGTGTACAGAAGGTTTTAGATACTGGAATAATTCTCAGTACAAGGTTGGGTCTAAATTCATTAGCTTGAAAATATGTAATGAAAATGTTCAAGTTGTAAAAAACGTAAATGACAAAGCTCTGGGTCCTGCTTTGGCTCTGCAGGTACTAAAGAAGTACACCTGCAGCTTTCAGAGTACATCCTGGGTTTTAGTCATGGTCCAAGACCTGACCCATGCACGTTCAAAAATAAACAGCTGAATGTAAATCTATTAAAATTTAATAATTTCAGTGATTTTTAAATGTTGTATTTTAATGTTTCTTTTCTTTCCTCTGTCATGATGCTTTTTTATGTCTTGTGTGAAGCACTTTGAATTGCCTTGTTGTTGAAATGTGCTATAGAAATAAACTGGCCTTGCCTAAAATAAGGGGAAATAAATCTCAATCCATTACAATCTCAGAAAAAAATGGAATAGTAATAATAGCTGCTAACACACAAACAGAGCTTTAGCAGAGTTAAATTCATGTGAAGTCATGAAATCAGGAAATGTTCTCAAATGAACTGATCCATTTGAGGACAAATGTAAAGTAACAAAGCGCAGGATCTACAGGCCTTTAGGATTTACTTATCACTGCTGTCCTTCACCCTGCGCCTCCAAGCCTAAAGGAGAAGCTGCGACGGCTACAAAACTAGTAAAACTACTTTTGTTTGTCCACTCCGGGCTTTTGTAGAAGAGAAGCAGAATGACATACAGTGTGGATGAGGACCTGCTCATTTGGTAGATATAAAGAATTCTGTCTTACTTTCTGAAATAACAAAAAGTCAACACATCTTATTTTCATTGTATTTGTTACGTCTAGCACACTGGAAGTCTGAAACTCAAACCAAAAAATCAACCATGATGAAGACTTTGAGTCCAGAGAATTCAACTAACCCTGTCCTAAAGGTGTCAGCAGACGTGAGGTCAGGGTTAGGTTTCCAGTAAATAACAAAGTTACATACAGTTAGGATGTCATAGCTCCCCGCCGTGAAGGCCTTGCGTGACGACACGACAGCCGTCTTTGGGTCGATGAAGAACTTCCCGTCCTCGTTCCCGTCCACGATGCTGTAGGAGAGGTCGCTGTTGGGCCCATCATCACGGTCGTAGGCGAACACTCGATAGATGGGCTCGCTCTTCTTCCTCCTCTCTCGCTCGGGGAGTTTGACCTGGAACACCTTCTCCGGAAACGTGGGCTTGTTGTCGTTCTCATCCAGAACCTGAACCATGACCCAGACCGTGCTCTGCCGGGGACTGGGACCGCCGTCCGACACAAGAACCTGCAGGGTGACACAAAGGTACAATACTAATTAATACACACAGGGTTTTTTTATATATAATCAGCTGAATATCTTTTAAATTATCTGAAGTCAACCTTTAAAATAAAACCTTGATGGACTTGTGTCTCTCCTAAATGGTTAGGTGTTGAATAGACCAAATAATTGATGAGGAAACGAGATGAATCTAAAATGATTTGTTGGTTGCAGCCTTACAGATGTTTCCTCTGTGAGAGTCTGAATCTGAATGAATAAGATGTATGAAAGTGATTGATTTGTAAACCATGTGCAGCGTCTGTCTGTTTTTCTCTCTCTCTGAATAACCGAATGAAAAGATGCAGAATGTGTCTCGGTGCTTTGGCAGCAGGTAATTAAGCTCCTGCGCTGGTGAAATGATGAATAAGGTGATCACGGAGGGGCGGGGTCAGCTCAAAAAAGAAAAAAAAGAAGAAGGAATTTATTCTCATTTAGCTGAAGTGTGCGATCAGTCCTCAGCCATCAGATTCAGCAGCAGCTCATTTCCTCTGAGCTTCATACAAGAAAACCATCTGTCACGTTCTGAGAACCAGACACGACTGAGAGAGAGAGAGACAGTTTAAATAATCGGAGGGCTCAGCAGACTGTGGAGGGAATTTAATGATGAGAGAGAAGGAGAAACACACGTCATAAAGAGTTGAAATCTAAAGGTTTTGGACATTTAATTTAAACTTAGACTTTTGAACCTGTTCAACGTTTAGACACACCGGAGAGCAGCCTTGTGAGGTGAGCTCTACCTGCAGAGAATAATCATTAAATCTATAATTTTCACCATTTCATAGAGAGCTCAAAGTTTGACCAGGCTGCTCTTTAAGAACTCACACAGAGGAAACAACAGCTGTGAGCACTTTTATTCACAGATTTATGATTGACAACTAATTTATAAAACAGTCAACACTTTTTTAAAAGCTCTTTTTGACGGCAATTTCTTGCCTTTAATCAATAGGACAGCTGAAATGAAATGAGACATGAAATGTTGGGAGGAGAGCTAGGGGGATGACATGCAGCAAAGGACCATTGGATGGAATCAAACCCACAGCCGCTGCGGCAAGGACTACCGCCTCTGTACATGGGGCACGCAAAATAACCACTAGGCTATCTGGCACCCCAATCAGTCAACACTTGGACTGTGAAATCAATTGTTTCATCTCCTCAGATTAAAGAAAGATGACACCAGCATTTTAAACTTTAATATGATTCTAATGATAATAAGTGTTTTCAGACCAAACAGTTCTGGGGACTTTATAAAGAGAGAAACTATCCAGCAGGTACTTCACTGAGAACAACACACCATGGGGACTTTTTTTCTGTTTGCATTTACACCGCCATGGTACCTACTCTGTAGCAGGAGCTAAAAAAAAGTTTTTTACTCTAAATGGGATTCTAGGAAGTAAAATAGTTCACAGTTCCTGCGGTGCGGAATCAATAAAAAAGGGGGAGGGTTTTAACAAAACGTTACGTTAAAAAAAACGGCAAAAGTTACTGCAGTCTGAAAACAGCTATTGACACCTGTTTGATTTCACAGCAGCAACAAAACAGAAGTTCTAGACATCCAATATTGGGTCATTTTTAGTTTGCAGGCACTGTCTGCACACCGTCTGAATTGAACAAAAACCCTGGCAGCAGTTTGGTACAGATACATTCACTTACACACAAACACAGTTAAGGCAACGTTTGTGTCAGTGTTTCTGTGTGCCTACTCTGCATCACACAGCTGATCATAGACTTTACAGAAGAAGTTGTAGTTTTTTTTCTTCTTTCTTTCTTCTTCTGTAGACAAGAGGTGACCATATATGGATGAGAGGGTGGGGCTTAAGAGGTAGGGAGATTTAATAAACACTGTCTGTACAGAAATGTTGCCAGTATATTTGTACAATTAAGACAGTGTGGAGAGTTTGACTGCAATTCTTGATGGACTCATACCTCTCCAACACACCTGTCTTATGAAATACATGTTGCCAAATGTGTGGAGCTGAATTGTTGTCATCTAAATCCTGCTAGCTGAAGGCTTGGAGCACAGATTAATAATTCAACAGAGGACGTTATAACCTCAGCCAGTTCACTTACACACTAAGAGTGCAGTTTGCACATGTGTGTGTGTGTGTGTGTGTGTGTGTGTGTGTGTGTGTGTGTGTGTGTGTGTGTGTGTGTGTCCTCTGCTGAGACACACAGCTGATCATAGACTGTATACTGAAATGTTGCCAATGTTTTTGTTTGATGCATACAGTTTGCCAGACTTGGTATGCTTTTTTTTATTATTAAAAATTGGGTGTCTAGGACTTCTGTTTTTGTTGCCATGGTAACATACAGGTATCAATATAACTATATTTTTTACTACAGTCTTGTTAAAGTTTAAAACTCACCTCTAAGACGTGCTCTGTTTGTTGTTCTCGGTCAAGTTTCCTCGAGGTCGTCGTGATCAGACCTGAGAAAGAAGCAGCAGAGAAAACTGTTAAGACACCGTGCGCACACACACACACACACACACACACACACACACACACACACACACACACACACACACACACACACACACACACACACACACACACACACGGTTTAGGCTGTCAGACTTGATGGCTAAGATTACAAAAAGGAAGAGAGAGGAGGAGGACAAGTGTGTGTTTATGTTCTGTCACACTCTGATTATTTAATATTTACCTGTCCCCTCATCTTGTTATCTGTTATCAGACGAGCTGGCTTTGTGTTAAAAGCTCCAGTGTGTCCATCCTGCAGAAGTCTGAATCTAACACTGTTGTGTAAACAAGTGTGACACATTAAAATACAGTGTGACACTAAGAGCTGTTCTCCTCAGTTTTTTAACCTTGTCACAGCCCCTCCTCTCCATCACGCCTGATTTTCAAATTGAATTATTCACAATATAAAGATGAAAATGTTTTCAGGCTGCGTGATTCACTCACACAGGAATGAGAGGAGAGCTGCCAATAAACTGTATGATAGATTTGATTCTTTGTTAACTTCACATTAGTCACACTGCATGACTAAAACACGCTCACTCTGGAGTCAATACCAGCTGTGAAAAACTTAAAACGCTATCAACAATGATGCAGTTTAAAGCTCCAAACAGCACCATGTGTTTTTGACACATTTGGATCCGCACATCATTTAGTTTCTGAAATATAAAACAAACAAAAACCCCATAAGTGACACTGGATCTTTGTGTGTCTGTTCCTCTGAGGATAGTACAGAGTTTCTCTATAACCTCGAGATATCTGCAGGAATATACTTGCCAGCCATCACTTCTGCTTTTCACATGATTCTCCCGTATATCCAAGCCATCTCGCTGCACTTACCTCTTTTGTTATTTCTTCCCTGAAACTTAAATTACGTTCACCTCCTTGCAACCTTATATATAATCCATAAACACCGGGCTGTATATTTTGTATGTTTGTCTGAAAATAACGTATCATTCTTTGAATTATGACGCACACACACAATCCACAACTACACACAACAACTACATCTAATATCAACACCTCTGTCCCTGTCACCTGGCAACCCACAGCAAGAATCAAGGGCTATGTACATGGCAGCAGGGAGGTTAAACAAAAGCTGGATAAAAGAGCAAGCTAGCTGAAAATATCAGGACAGGACAGGACAGCCCTGTACAAAAAAAAAAACAACAACACAAGGAAGCAAGTAAATGTGAGAATAGCTGAACTGAATTATTGAAGATTATTACCTGGATAGTAGGCATGAATTCTGCAGAGTTTTTATTATTTTAAAGAAAAGCACAGAGGCTAAAATTAAAAGACTTCTTTTTCAGACCTCATCAGCCTATAGACAAGAGCATGGTACAGAAGGGCACCTTGAGGCAAGCTCTCAACATCCGACCACCCCTCCTACCCCACCTTCCTGTACTTTAAAGCTAAATGTTGACAGGTATGAAAAAACAAAAAGTTTATTTTGATAATGAAGGTGGAGAAGGAGAGATCCAAAACAACAGACGGATAGATGTGAGAGAGAGAGGAGACACAGCCAGGTGTGACATGGAGACAGGTATGAAAGAGTCTTCACAGGTGGTATAGTGTTTCTTTATGTTAATATGTTAAATGTAAGAAGGGTACATTAACATCCTTTAAAGCAGTGGTTCTCAACTGGTGGGTCGGGACCCAGAGGTGAGTCGCTGAGCCATTGTCAGTGGGTCTGGAATGTGTTCGTGGAAAAAAACTTGTGTGGAAAAAGTCTATGAAGCGCTTTTTAAAACATGTTTGTTCTGTTTAGTTTCTTGCTTCTGTCACATGTTTTGTACTGAATGAGGTTCAACCTGCACAATCTTTCAGTAAACAAATCTGACTGGTCGAAAAATATCAGAAATGTGGGTCTTTTATTTTCACAGAGGAGTTGATGATGGGTCCTGAAGCCAAACAAGTTGAGAACGTCAGCTTTAAAGCATGTGAGTCTATCTGTCAGAGAACAACAGTTTGGATTAATGAGAACACTGCTGTTAGCTACTTGCTACATTAGCATGTCACACTGACACCCTATAACAAGCTACTAACAGCGCCACTTCCTGTTTCTGCTGGAGACAGTGTGTGTGTGTGTGTGTGTGTGTGTGTGTGTGTGTGTGTGTGTGTGTGTGTGTGTGTCTTAACAAGGAAGAGATGTGACAGCTACACACACTGCAGGTATCCAGCTGTTATTTTCCCAGTGTCAAAGTTACACAGAATCTAACACACACACACCCACACACAAAGGCATGTATAGCTATAATTAGGAACTTTCAACACACACACACACACACACACACACACACACACACACACACACACACATCTGCTGTTAAATTGTAAGAAGACAGAAACTTAATGAAAAAGAACAACTACATGACCGTCCGTTAACAAACACACTGCAGGGCACTTGTGCATGTTTTGTTTCTGTGTGTTCATGAAGGCTGTGTTAGTGTTCTGTGTGTGTCTGAGTCAGCATCACACCTTCACACACACACACACACACACACACACACACACACACACACACACACACACACACACACACACACACACACACACACACACACACACACACACACACACACACACACACACACACACACACACACAGAGGTGATCCATCACACTGCAGAGGACACACTATAACACAGACACTCACTTGATGTATGAGGTATGATGTAATTTATTCATGGGGGGGTTAGGACCGCTTCATTCTGTCAGAAATGATAATCAGGATTATTCTAATCAATATTAAGATTAGGATTATTACACAGGATTTCATCTGTTTAATCTGGTTAAACATCATAACCCTCAACATCCTGTATTAGAGATATTAGAAGTCAATCATTGGGAAGTCATTACTTTACACCACAAGGTGTCAGTTCTTTACATTAGAGGTATCATTTATGAGGTTATGAGTAAATTAAGAAGGAGAATGAAAAGGACGTTTTGTAGAGATCATTATTTTATCATGACTGAGAGGTAAACGATACAACCAGAGTCTGTTTAAAATAAGCTTCACACACGGTCACTTAAAGTGAAGCCAAAACATTTAGAGCTCCCCCTGCTGACTGGCTGCAGTATAGCTCTTAAGCTCCGCCTCCTCCATGTTAACAGATAGAACATCATTGTGAAACTATAAAACAAAAGCATACATCAGATACATTTTTCTCAAACCTGCTTTCTGTCGTTTTAATTAGTTCTTAGCGTGTTGATTTATGTCCAAGTGTTCATTTCATCTGAGAAGTTCAGTGTTGTTTAGTTATGCCATGCTATAAAAAGGGGTATAACTCCATGATTGGCAGCGCTGTCGACAAATGAGGCTCCTGCAGTGCTTTGTGCAACGAGAGTAGAGGAGGATGGGGGTTGTCTTGATTATCAGTACGTTGATGTAAACCATGAGATTTGTCAGTGGATCTGTCACAGGTGTACCCAGCTTGATGCTGTGGTTATAAAATGAAATGGTTCTGTCCCGTTCACGTTTACAGGCCTTTTTTTTTGTAGAAAGCTGTCCTGTCCTGACATTTTCAGCTAGCTTGCTCTTTCATCCAGCTTTGCAACGCTGTGGATTTCCAGGAGGCAGGGACAGAGGGATGAAATCTGATTTAGTAGTGGATTTAATGTGTCTGGGTGTGTGTGCGTGACAGAAACTAATGGATCAGTAAGCATGAAATGACTTAATTTGATTAATTAAGTTCATTAAAAATGTCTCCTGGATCGGTCGATGCACGTTTTGTTCACAGGTGTTTAACCATCGACCATTTCATTATATACAGGAATTTCCAGCAGGTAAATCTGATGAGTCTAAACACGAAGAAGTAGTTTTCATGAAGAGATCACATCATCATGCTGGTCATTTAGTGACGACAAGTTACTCCTCTTTACATCTCCATGTTTAAAGCTTTCATTGTGTGTGTGTGTGTGTGTGTGTTACAATTAATGGATGAAGCCTGAGTGATGTCACCCATCTGTTACAGCGAGGGGCTCCGGAGACTCCTCGTCGGTGTCTGTATGCTGCCTCAGCTCCAGCTCTAGGCAGGTTTTAAAGAGGGTGAATCCATTTATTGACAGAAGTCTGACTCCTCTACAGTCGGCGGCAAAATGCTCCCTTCCTTCTAGCTACCACTGACCCTTCATCGTGTTGACTTATTCAACACAAACCAAACAATCAAACAAACGAGTTAGCAAGAAGCCTTGTTTCTGTATGGACAACTTTACAGCTCTGTACATTTCATACATATACCATGTTGATACCTTTGTCCTGTTTTCTTCTACACATTTGTGCTGTTTTACTTCCGGGTCAAAGCCTGGAAGGGGCTCAGAACGCCTAGGCCAGTTCGGTGTATACTACCAACAAACCGTTAAATCACGCCCACCTAACAATCAGGACAGTTACACGCCTAACTATAGGTAAAACGTATCTTTCATGAAATAAAATGGATATGTTTTATAAAAATAATTGTATTGTATGCCAATGAGGGCAATAACTCCTCAAACCACTATGAGGTCCAGGGCCTTCAGCCGCTCTGCCCCCCACCTCTGTAACTCCCTCCCACCACAAATCCGTAATATTGACTCTCTCTCCATTTTCAAATCTCATCTCAAAACACGTCTTTTAAACATTCAGTCTGCGCATTCTCCACCCGGTCTCATAACTCCTTTACATCCTGTACATTTGTTTTTTGTGTTTTTAATGTTAGTTTTATCATTGTCTTGTTACCAGGGTCGCTGGTTCAAGTCCCGGCACGGACCAAGTCCAGAAAGTGGCCTGGTAGCCACGCCACTGGTGCCAGTCCACTTCCTGAGCACTGCCGAGGTGCCCTTGAGCAAGGCACCTAACCCCCCCACCAGCTCAGGAGCGCCCACTGCGGGCAGCCCCCTCACTCTGAGACCTCTCCATTAGTGCATGTCCATAGGATCCTGTTTGTGCATGTGTGTGTATTACAGCCTA